GCGAAGACGTGCCGGAGGAGGTGGAAAATCTACAGTTCGAGAACATAAGCGACCGTTCGCTCACAGTCAAGTGGAATCCTCCGTTTGAAGTGAACGGAATTCTCACTCTCTATCAATTGAAATACATGATCAAAGATGTGCCAGATTCCCTGCGAGTGGAGAACTTCACGTCGGACGTACTCTCGGCCAAGATCGAACATTTACAAGCAATGACTCATTATAGATTCGAGGTGGTCGCTTGGACGTCAGTGGGCCCTGGGAAACCAGCGGTAGCTGTTATTCAATCAGGCGTCGAACCTGTCCTACCTGAACCGCCAACCAAATTGGCGCTGTCTAATATAGACGCGTTCTCTGTCGTTCTTCAGTTCACGCCAGGATTCGATGGCAATTCGTCGATAATAAAGTGGACAGTGCAAGCACAAACCACTCGAAACACAACGTGGTACAATATATATGAAGTTTCTGATCCCGACGCCAGTACGATCACTGTAGGTGGCCTAATCCCGTTTATGCAGTACAAGTTACGATTAATTGCCAACAACGTTGTCGGCGCTTCTCAACCTTCCGAACCAACGAAGGAATTTCAAACGATTCAAGCACCACCGTCACATCCTCCTAGGAACGTTACGGTTCGTGCAATGAGCGCTACGGAATTGCGCGTTAGATGGATCGTGAGTGTGTTACCTTTAACCGAACCAAAAAATTAAAAAAAAACACCTAACAATTATCAATCATCGCGTTTCTTATTTATTTATTTACTTGTTCCTTCAATAGCCGTTGCAACAGATCGAGTGGTACGGAAATCCAAGGGGTTATAACGTTACTTACACCGAAGTCCGAACGAACAAATCGAGAAGCATCACTATAGAAGATCACACAGCGAATTCGTATATTTTAAAGGACATGGAGGAATATGCTCTCTATGATATTGTAATGCAAGCGCTTAACGACGTCGGGTCGTCGACGACGAGTCCGAAAGCTGTCGAGAGGACCCGCGAATCAGGTAAAATAATATAATAAAACACTTATGTCTGCAATCTTAAAAAAAAGGTACTAATTTTCTTACTGGCATGTTTCTCTTTTCCCAGTTCCCTCGATGGGGCCTGTTAACGTAGAAGCTAATGCAACGTCTTCCACGACCATATTAGTCAGATGGGGCGATGTCCCTATAGAACATCAGAACGGACAGATAGAAGGGTTTAAAGTTTATTATGGTGCAAATGCTAGATCGGCATTCCAATATAAAAACATTCCTAGCAATACAACGTTTACGACGACTTTAACGGAACTTCGAAAATTCGTGCAATATCACATACAAGTGCTGGCTTATACACGGCTCGGCGATGGCACTTTAAGCACCCCACCAGTTAGAGTACAAACGTTTGAAGATGGTAAATCTCACTGCTACAATTACGAGCATCATGTCCCTTTGCACAGAGTTCAATAAAATTAAAATTCTCGTAGCCCCTGGACCTCCGTCGAATGTGTCATTCCCCGATGTAAGCTTTACCACCGCCCGTATTATTTGGGACACTCCAGAAGATCCGAACGGAGAGATTCTCGCCTATAAAGTTATGTTCCATTTAAATAATAGTCAAGATCATCAATTTTCGAAGGAGTTCCCCGCATCGGATAGAACCTTTAGGTACAATTAACAGCGTGATTAATAAATCTAAACCAAAAAAAAAGAAAAGTCAGTATGAAATTCATATTTTTATGTATTTCTCAGGGCAACTGGACTAGAGCCGGAAAAATACTACATGTTCTCGGTAACAGCACAAACGAGATTAGGCTGGGGGAAAACAGCGTACGCTCTTGTTTTTACTACAAATAACAGAGAACGTCCGCAAGCGCCGTCGATGCCGCAAATTAGCAGATCGCAAATTCAAAGTAGACAGATAACATTTAATTGGACACCTGGTCGTGATGGGTTTGCTCCACTAAGGTAAATTGTTTCATATTCCATTCAATGTGTATATTTCTATGTTGCATGAAATTAATACGTGCAACGTCTTTTTTTTTTCTATAGATATTACACAGTACAACAATCAGAAAATTCAGGACCATTCCAAACTATTCCTGAAAGAGTAGAACCAACTTTAACATCTTATACAGCAAATAATTTGAAACCATTTACATTCTATCAGTTCCGAATACAAGCAACCAACGATATAGGTCCTTCAACCTGGAGCACGGAATCTGTTCAAGTTCAAACTTTACCAGCAGGCATGTAAAATTTACTTCTCGCTTTTTATTAAATTTATTTCATTAACATGCAAAATCTTATCGTATTATATATAAATTTGTAGCACCTTCTCGTGGAGTGACCGGATTGAAAGTAGTTCCAATAACAACATCTAGCATAGAGGTTCATTGGAACGTAATAGATGAAGTATATTGGAGCGGGGATCACGAAACAGGTGGTTACCGCGTCGTTTATCAACCAGTTTCCGACTTTCCCATAGCTCTTCAAGACACTCCAAAGGAAGAAATTTTAGGAATAAAGGTAATAAATATAATTATATAATGTCACGATTGATTCTAATTGATAAGTTGATGTATTAATCCTTTTCTAAATTTTGTAGGCCGCCAAGATTGTTTTGAGCGATTTAACAGAAGACAGGTATTATGAGGTAATAGTGTTACCCTTTAATTCTGAAGGGGAAGGTCCATCGAGCCCTCCAGTAACTGTATATGTAGGAGAAGCAGTTCCTACGGGAGAGCCACAACATCTAAAAGCGGAACCAATTTCTTCTACAGAAGTGCATTTACGTTGGAAACCACCTCAAGCCAATATGCAAAATGGAGATTTATTAGGATATAAAGTAAAATTATCATTACTATTATCATTAGAAAAGTCAAATATTTCAATCAAAACTTATATTTTCCATTTTAGATTTTCTATTTAGTTACTGATTCTCCTCAAGATTTAGAGAACAAACAGGAAGAAGAAATAGAAGTTGTACCAGCATCATACTTGACACACAGCTTGGTGTTTTTAGATAAATATACAGAATATCGTATTCAAGTATTGGCTTTTAATCCAGCCGGTGATGGTCCTAGAACTCCATCTATCACTGTCAGAACTAAACAGGTACATAAGTTTAACAATAGTGAAACTAAAGTCGTCTCTTTTGTTTTTCTCCCGTAAAAATATATTCAATTAATTTACAGGATATACCTGGACCACCGTACAATTTACAATTCTCAGAAATTACAATGACCAGTCTTCGCGTCTCTTGGGAAGCGCCAAAACTGCGAAATGGTGAAATAGTCGGCTACATTGTTACATACGAAACTGCAGAACAAAATGATCGTATGTTTTTTTGATCTAAAAGTTTTTCGACACTACTTAATATACACAATTGTCGATGCGTAATACTCTATATTGTTGTAGGTTTTAGTAAACAAGTTAAGCAAAAAGTAACGGAAACAAGTCTACTAATTCAACCTTTAGAAGAAGAAGAAACGTATACTTTTATGGTTCGAGCGCAAACCATTGATTTTGGTCCACCCATATCCGGAAATGTCACGACAGGTCCACAAGAAGGTTCACCAATGGCACCTAGCAACCTTGCTGTCACAAAAACAGTGTCTAGTGTTGAATTGCAATGGACTAATGGTGCTTCTGGGAAAGGGCCCATTCTAGGATACTATATTGAAACACGCCGAAAAGGTAAATAACGTGAACTATTTGAAAAAAATAAAATTTTTCAAAGCTGAAACAGACTAGAGAATTAATAAAAAATAATATTAATAATATTAAGAAACATAATATTAAGAAAAATATATTAAAAAAAAGATAGAATGAAAGATAGAAATGTGCAATAGATCTTCTTTGATCATTCACTTTCATCTATATCTCTAAAATGAAAATATTCTACTTATAAAATTCTAAATGATATTATTTGCGTTACTAATATCGCCTTTTTTATAATCATATAGCAATGGAAGAGTGGCAGCATTGTAAGTGTCAATGCACGTAAATATATTGAGCGTCGATTATTATGTTAGATGGTTTCGACAGTTAAATATAATTTTTCTTAGTGTTAAAAAAAAAAA